AGTTTGGTCCGTGTGTTATTGGTGGGTTTGTGTGGTTGTTGCTGTCCACGATGGATCAAGGCAAGCCTGAGGCTGTATCGGCTCGACTTGATGGGAAAAACTTCCCGTTTTGGGAGTTTCAATTCCGCAGTTTTGTTGCTGGGAAGCGATTACTTCCGATCTTGACAGGTAAGACTCCTCAGCCCGCTGTCGATGCTCCTGACAAGGACAAGGAGGATTGGGCTGCGGCCAATGCCCAATTAATTTCGTTACTTCTTGGCGCTGTGGATATTGGTACGGGGCTAAGTCTTCGTCGCTTCGATACGGCCAGTGAGATGTGGGCGCATATTTCTGCTATTCATTCACAAAACAATGCTTCTCGCCAGTTTGAACTTGAGAGTGAGCTTGTCTTGTTCACTCAAGGAGATCATGATATACGTTCTTATTACCAAGCCTTGGTTACTAAATGGACTGAACAAGACATGCTGGCTGCATCTATTTCTGATTCTCCTGCCACCGCAGCTTCTTTGCGTGATCGTGATCGGTCACGTCTCATGCAGTTCTTGATGAAGCTTCGTCCCGAGTTTGAAGCTATTCGTGCCTCTATTTTGCATCGCAATGTGACGTCTGTTGATGATGCCCTTGGTGAACTGTTCAGGGAAGAGACACGACTTCGTAGTCTTGCTAAGCTCGAAGGTCAATCCGACACTGCTTTTGCCGTCGGTAGAGCTGGAGGATCTCGTCCTCAATTTCAGCGTGGTAACACTGGCCATCTGACCTGTCATTACTGCCATGAAGTTGGCCACATCCAGCCACACTGCAAACAAAAGAACTTTTGTATTTACTGCAAACAGTCAGGTCATATTGTTCTTGAATGCAAAGCTGCAGCTCGTCGCAACAGGGGTGGCAATTCTCATGGTCCGCGTGGTACGGGCTCAACTGGAGGCACGGCTGGCGCCGGGTATGCTGTGATTCCAGCTACAGCTGTTGCGGTTTCTTCTTCTGATGCGTCGCAGGCGCAGTCTCCTCTCTCGGCTATGTTGACTTCCGCTGAAGTCCGACGCATGGTGGCTGAAGCACTGCAGGACGTGCTGCCTTCGGCCCTCAATTCTGCATTTGCAACTGGTGGGGGATCAGGTATTTGTTCACGTTGGTTGATTGATTCTGCTTCATTCAATCATATGACTAATGCACGCTCTCATTTCTCGACGTTAAATACTGGTATTACATCATCTTTGCAAGTTGCCAATGGGGCTCGACTACCTACTTGTGGTGTTGGCACAGGTACTACGGGTCGTGTTTCTTTACAGAACACACTATATGTTCCTCAACTCGTTCCACAACTTGTCTCGGTCGGTCAATTGACAGAGGAGGGTTGTGTGGTTAAGTTTGATAATCAGGGTTGTGTTGTGCAGGATCAGATCACGGGAAAGGTACTGGGCAAGGGTAAGAAGGATGGTCGCGTCTTTGTCCTCGAAGAATATGCTCAGCAAAAGAAGTTGGAGGAGTGTGACTTGTGTTTCTCGGTGGATAGGGACGTGGTGCACCCAGGTGGTTCGAGAGATGTTGCTGCCTTGGCTGCAGAAGAGAATTTTGAAGACATGGATGCAGCTACTGTTAGTTGTTTAGTTGAGAACGATTTTTCATTAAATAAGGAACATCTTTATGATGTGTTGAGTACTTCTGCTTCATTGGCCTATTCAGTTCGCTCTTTGGATTCTTTGGATTTCAGTGTACGAACCTCTGTTTGGGATTTATGGCATCGTCGGCTTGGTCATCCACATAATGCTCGTTTGCTTAGTATGTTTCGTCGAAATCTGTTGCCTGATTCCTTGACTTCAAAATTCGGACAGCCTCCCCCATGTGTTCATTGTATTGAAGCTAAGACATCTCAGTCATCTTTCTCCTCCAGTGATACGGTTTATGACTCTCCATTTGATCTTATTCACACCGACTTGTGGGGTCCATCTCCGGTTACTTCTCGCCTGGGCTATAGGTACTTTGCTCTATTCATTGATCATGCCACAAGGTATGCCTGGATCTACTTTCTCCGCCGGAAATCCGAGTTGATTGATCATGCGACAGCTTTTATTCAGTTAATTCGTACTCAGTTTGGCAAGACTGTCAAGATTATTCGCTCTGATCCTGGCGGTGAATTCAATTCCACGCCGTTATTAGCGTTCTATCAAGCTAATGGCATCATTTCTCAACAGTCGTGTCCGGGAGTGTCTCAGCAAAATGGGCTGGTGGAAAGGAAGCATAGACATGTTTTAGAATTAACTCGGGCTCTTCTTTTGCAGTCCCTGGTGCCGTGTGGATTTTGGGTTGAGGCAATCAATGTTGTGGTCTATGTTATCAATCGACAAGTGACTCCTACGTTGAATGATCGATCTCCATATTTTTGTTTATTCTCTAAACAGCCCAACTACTCATGGTTGCGAGTATTTGGTTGTGTCTGTTTTGTTCTATTGCAGAAAAAGGATCGTCATAAGTTGGAGTCCAAGACTGCTAGGTGCGTTTTCCTTGGCTACAGTGACCGTCACAAGGGGTACCTATGTTATGATCCGAAAGAGCATCGTATGCGCATTTCTTGTCATGTCGTTTTTCTTGAACAAGTTATGCACTACTCAATTGCTACTGAGGATCATATTCCTACCTTGGATTTTCTTCAGCCCCTTCCTGTTTTTGATACTGCAGATGGGGTTCCTATTCCTCCTGTTATGCCGCAGGCAGCCGATCCACCATCTCCGCCGCCCACACCTGCCACATCTTTGTCTTTGCTCTCTGATGGTTCTTCTCACTCTGGCCATTCTCACTCCTCTTCCAGTTCGGCAGGATCATCAGGCTCTTCGACCTCAAGCTCTAGCGACTCCACTTTGTCTCCACCCGGTCCCCCATCACCTCCTCCCCTTCGTCGCTCTTTGCGGAGTACACTTGGCCAACCTCCTCTTCGTATGCAAGATTATGTTGGTTTTTCTACTGAACCTGTCATGGTTCCCAGTCATTATCGGTTTGCAGTAGGACATCCCGAATGGGATGCGGCCATGACTGAAGAGACGCGGGCATTGGAGGCAAATCATACTTGGGATATTGTTCCCCGAATGCCTGGCATGCATGTTCTTGGTAACAGATGGGTTTACAACATCAAGATGTTTCCTGATGGTACCATCGAGAGACACAAAGCACGGTTGGTTGCTCAAGGATTTCGCCAAGAGTTTGGGATAGAATATGATGAGACCTTTGCCCCTGTGGTCCGGATGCAGACGGTACGTAGTATATTCGTAGTTGCTGCAATGCGCAAATGGCCCCTTATTCAGTTGGATGTGAAAAATGCATTCTTGCATGGGGATTTGAAGGAGACTATTTATATGGAGTGTCCAGCGGGATATGACAAACAGGGGAAGGATGTGGTTTGTAAACTTCGCAAGTCCTTGTACGGTTTGAAGCAGGCACCCCGGGCATGGTTTGAAAAGTTTCACAGTACTATTCTGCAGGCTGGGTTTGTGCAGAGCTCGAGTGACCCTTCCATGTTCTTGCGGCACACTGTGCATGGCATAGTTGTGTTGTTACTATATGTGGATGACATGATTGTGACTGGGAGTGATGCCGATGGTATACAGGACCTCACTCGGTCATTAAATTCTGCTTTTAATCTTAAGGAGCTGGGCGAGGTATCCTACTTCTTGGGATTGGAGGTGACTCGGTCTGACAAAGGGTTGTTCGTCAGTCAACGCAAGTATATCATTGATCTCTTAGAGAGTGCGCAGTATAGTGACTGTCGTCCATGTTCTACGCCGATGAAGCAGAACTTGAAATTGAGTAGGGAAAGTGGTGACCTTTTGGAAGATCAGACAGTCTACAGAAGCATAGTTGGAAGTTTGATTTATCTTACTCACACACGGCCTGATATAGCATATGCAGTTCAGAATGTCAGTCAATTCTTGGGGGTTGCCCGCACCACTCACATGGATGCGGTTCATCGTTTGTTGCGATATCTTAAGCATACGCAGGATATAGGTATGTTCTTTCCAGTGGAAACTCAACCAGAGTTAGAAGGATTTGCCGATGCAGACTATGCTGGATGCCTGGATACCAGACGATCTACATCAGGCTGGTGTGTTAGGCTTGGTCGGTCATTCATTTCATGGAGATGCCGAAAACAAGACAAAGTTTCAAAATCTTCTACTGAGGCTGAGTATCGCTCGATGTCAGAACTGAGTTCAGAGATGGTATGGCTGCAACGGTTGTTGGAGGAACTGGGAGTTGAGTGCAAGATGCCGATGAGGATATATGGAGACAATACTAGTGCCATTCAGATTGCAAACAATCCCGTACTTCATGATCGGACAAAGCATATTGAGGTCCATGTTCACTACATACGGCAGTTAGTTGCAGAAGGCAGGATACAGTTAAGCTATCTGTCAACAGAAGACCAGACTGCTGATTTGTTGACCAAGGCTGTTGCTTCCAGTAGACATTGGTACTTGTCTTGCAAATTGATGTTAGTGAACCGACATCAATTTGAGGGAGGGTGTTAATTCACTACAAGAAAATGGGCTTTTAGAGGCTAAACTATAGTGACAAATATTTTAAAAGCCTTCAAAAGTATTATATAGCAACAAATACATAATGTGCCGCAAAAATCATCAAAATCTGTCGTTGATAGCCTAAAATTTCTCTTATCTAAATATTACTGAAAATAAATTAATCTTTTACCGTCTAATACCTGATAATTGCCTTTTAAAGTCTTTGATTATTTCCTTTTAGAGGCAGAAAACTATCCTTCGAAAAAATCAAATTTTACGAGATAAATAAAAAAGTTACTATGTCCTTTTAACTTTATTTTATTTATAATAATAAATTTAGAAGAATCAGATAATTAATTGCCTCTAAACATATCTTTCCCCGGCAAATAAATCCGCCTCTAATTGCGTTACCTATTAAAATAGTATGATAAAAAAGGAATTTATTGGAAATTGAAATTAAAATATTATTTTTTACATGAGTTATTGTGTAAGGCGGGGAGAGATGGCCAAAAACTCGGCTCGTCGTAACTGAATCGTGAATTCAAAATGATTTTTTTAAAGGGGCTTTATGCAAACCCTAAATTGTAAATCTATGATCCATTTATGCACATGTTATTCTTTTCCCCATAATTTCTTAGGGCTATTCCAATCAAGATCAACCGCCGAATCATCTTCGTCGTCGAACATTCGTCGAGTGACAGCCATTGTAATCGACATGGGGCGTTCGATTGACAGCCATTGTAATTGACAATTTGACATGGAGTTCTGTATCGATCCTTACCTCTCTATATCCTCCTCACTCATCTAATTGAGCCCCGCAGATGGCCCTCAAACTACCTTGCATCTCCGGCATCCCCTTCAATTATTACCTGGTGCGATTTCTTTTTCCTTTTTCCTTAATTTGCGTCTCCGGCATCCCCTCAATTGTTACCGCTTGCTTTGTTTCCTTTGCAGTTAGCCCGCTATCGAAAATCAATTGGTTTGGTTTAGTTTAGAGTGCCTAAATCCACGTCAAGAACACTTGATAAACAAGGGTGGGTTGGTGGCTACATTGACGACGAGGATCAAGGGATCATGGTTTATTTTCTTCATTGTGGATCCGTTGAAGGATATGGTCAAGTTGATGACTATTTGTAAATAGTTATGCTGAATTAATTAACTGATTTGTGTTGTTTTGGTTCCGCAGCAACAACGAACCCAGGTTTGCAGGCTCGATCACCGGACAAGATTTTAAAGTATGCTTCATGCCGAATGACTTTCAATATTTAAGGATGTGAGGCCTATAGAGAATTCTATAGTTTCTTCAATAGTTTCTTTGTAGTTTGTTTATTGTTTGTAGAGAATTCTATTTTGATTGAATCCAATTGATTATGATTGACTCGAGTATATAATAAAGAGGGGATTTTTCTTCATATTTTTTTACCGATATTTACTTGCTTTTTTAATAAGTAAATTGTAATTGTGAAAACAATAAAGTTATGTGGGCAAGATAGCATAGCAGACGACAATTACACTAGCCTGCAATTCTACCAAGTTTATTCCAAAATGCGACGCTAATACTACCTTTTACAAGCAATGAATTTGCCTCTAACTGATATATATTGCGGCTAATATATTTATTGGAGAATGGGTATTTCAAATAATTATTTGCTATTAAATTATATTTTTAGAGGCAAATATAAATGCCTTTGAATAAATAATTAGAGACACATAATATTTGTCGCTAACATCTGTCGCTAAAGAGATTTAGCGGCAGCAGTATTGACAGCACATAATTATGTGCCTCTATAGAGCTATAGAGGCACATAAATCACCTATCGTGGCAAATAAGCTTAGCCGCTAATTGTCATTTTTCTTGTAGTGATTATATTTTGGGGTACCAATGTGTAAATAGCCTAAGCTAGTGTCGGCCAAAGTTTAGGTTACTAAACCTATATATATTACTCGTGTAACCTGTAGAAGAGTGATCAAGCAATAAAAACCTACAACCTGTGAGGGAGATCCTCACCGTGGACTAGTGTCACATTGACGAAACCACGTTAAAAAACCTCGGTGTTCCTCTAATTCTTGTTTATTTGACATAGGCAGGCGCCAGTCGAAGGGAAGTTCCAGGAGTATCGGCGGGTATCGTGGCACAAACAGGAACTATTACAGTTTTGATAACTACATGTGCCTTTTTGCTTCACTGCTACTTCATAAACAGGATAAGGGATTTGAAGATGCAAAGGCTGTCATTGAAAGTCTGAAGAATAAAGGCGTATCTGCAATTGGAGCTGCAGGCTTTTGCTGGGGTGGTATGATTTCAGACATCTATGTGGTTCTAATTAGCTTGTTTTTTTTGCTGTCATGGTTTATAGATAAAACTTAGACAAGTTGATGGAAGTCGAACTAGCCTTTTCGCGCAATTTGAGCTTGCTCTTCCTAATATGAGCTTTTGCTCAATCTTCTCAGCCAAGGTTGTGGTTGAACTCGCCCACATTAATGCTGGTGTGCTGTTGCATCCTTCATTTGTCACAGTTGATGACATAAAAGGTAACCAATTAGACTTCCAAAGTGCCTGAACTCTGTCTCCTAGCAGTTTTCTGGTACTTGTGATACGATGGTTGCCATGTTGCTCGATCAGCTGATTTTTAACTAAAGTTCTGTTTTTCTTTTGCAGAGGTGAAGGCTCCTCTTGCTGTACTTGGAGCTGAGTTCGACCACCTTTCGCCACCAGCTCTAGTGAAACAGTTTGAAGAGGTCCTGGCTACTAAGCCTGAGGTAAGAGAAAACTATTTACATCTGCGGATGTGTTCTGGTTCAGGGGTAGTTTGGCAAATGGACCAGCTCTCAACATGGTTTCAACATATTTTGGCGCAGTTTGATGGATTTGTAAAGATATTCCCTGGAGTTGCTCATGGATGGACAGTGAGGTACAAAGCTGAAGACGAAGCCGAGGTAAAAGCTGCAGAGGAGGCTCATAACGACGCGTTGGAGTGGTTTGCTAAGCACGTCAAGTGAATACATAAGAAAACATTCCACGAGTCCAGCGCGAGATGGCCTCTCTGTCGTTTACCATTTTATCCTGCGTGCGCGAGGTGAGAGATCGATCGACTTCTGAACATACCACGTCGTTGTTGCGTAATATCAGAGATCTCGAGTGATGGCGTATGTTATTGAGATTATCGAATCTGGCTCTCATTGTTCATGTTATTGAATATAGAGCATCTCATGGACATTGTGCACCAGTGTTGTATAATCTCTATAGCTTTGGCTCTCTCAGATTTCTGCTGCTTCGTTTCTACCTCCTCCATGCTGTTGGGCCGAAATGAGGCTGTGTTACTTGGGCCGCCAGAAAGAAGACCGTGGGATCCAGTTTTGGGAAGAGCCCAAACCATCTTCCTTTCGTTTTCTGTTCCCGTCACCGTCGGTTCATGTGAGGACGAAGAGAGGTCGGCAAAGTAGGGAACACGGTTAGCCAGCCACGTGTCACCGATGGGAACAGCAAATCTGAAGCTGTCATTTTGATTAGAAGAAGCGCACTTCTTCTCCATCACTTGCTCTGCTTGCATCCACACACGGCCATAAGCGCGTCAGCGCGTCGATTTTAATTTCAGCAAGCTTTGAAATGCATTATTGGAGTTTGTACCAAAAAAGTTTGTGATATAATTATAATATTTTATGCTAAAATCGTGATTTGTATCTTTGAATATAGCTAATCAATTTTGTTATTAGTATTTTCTGGTCGAATTGTCGGTATGGTCCGTGATTTCAATGTCTTTTAAGTTTTAATCATAAAAAAGATCTATCTCCTTTCATTTCTTATACTAGTCAAATTTTAAATATCATTCATAAAAAAATAATATATATTTATCTCTATTTTCTTATATCATATGTCAACCATTCTTTTTTTTAAATAGTCAAAGAAAAAATCTTTTCTTGTTTTTATAAAACAAAATAAAAGGGTTCTTTCTTTCTTGTTCCCTCCAATTAGTTCAACCCCCTTGCTGGCTCAATAGACTGGTTGTCCGTCGGTGTTGATGGCTTGATTTTTGCCAAGAGATTAACGGTTTTCCAAGCAATAAAAGTTATATGGAGGCCTTCAATCAATGTGTACAATTTGTCAAAACTAAAATCACTAAAATGGAAATCAAAGCAACAAATTGAGGACTATTGATGTGTTAGACTTTTCGTTGCAATGAGTTATCAAACACAACTATAACCAACCTCACAGACAATTGAGAAAACGAGATGCGGGCTACAGCTACAGGCATCCATATCTTTCATATTAATTTGAAACTGAATATGGAATTTTAATTATTTCTCGCGTTCTTAGAGTACGGAACCAAACTGCATCGAACTACCTTACTAATAGAGGTTGCTCTCTACTTATAAACTCTCGTATCATAGTTGTAATATGCGGAATCTAAACAATCTGGTTTGGTTTGCCTTTCTATTCATTTTTCTTTGTTAAAAAAACAATCTCAATGAGTCATCTTATTATCCAAACCAAAAAAAAGGAAAGTCATATAAGTGAAGATTAAATGAAATATAACTATGCTAATCATGAAAACAAACAGATAGTGACCACTAGCTAGTGCACTTACCAGTTATTAACAAAATTGTATCTATCTTCTTCACTGCAATTATGGAGAACTTCACTTTCTTGTTCTTCCCACTACCCTTTCCCTTTCTCAAGCAAAAGATACCAACTTTTACACACCTAAAAATTATCCCCTTTTTCCAGAAAATATCAGTCCAAATAACCAAATCGCATTAATAAACTAAACTGGATAATAAAGGCACTAATAAATAACTCAGAATCAAAGTAATCAATCATGTCCTAGTCCTCCTGCATTAAAATGGATAATCAATCAAGTCCCAGTCCACAATAGAAGAGATGAAAGATTCCCCCCAAATCAAACCAAAAAAACAAAAGAAGAGAAGCCATGTGAAGGGCACATGTAAGAAGATGATGAGATTTTTGGGAGCCTCTTTCCCATTATAATCCTCTCTTTAGTAGGACAAATCATCTGTAAAACTGGTGATGGCAATTTGAACTTGCATCGGGTATTATCCGACCTGACTCGTGATGTAGCGGGTATTTACCCAACTCGCAGTAGCGTGGGGCGGGGTATGGATATCTACTTCAGACTCGTCATGTTCTTTAACTATTTTATCTCACTTTCTTATAATATCTATACATATTTATCCTATATTGACTTTTCTTCAACTAGTTAGAGTCGATCTTCAAATTTGTTAGACTCAATTACCCATTATATTCACTATTTTTCATTCATAAAGTGTTTTCCCTTCATTTTATCGTAAAAAGTAAATTTTGCGTGTTTTTTTATAAATAACATGTAAAATGGATCGACCCGCCCCGCCCTATACCTGCACGAGTTTTACCCGCCTCGATCCGCAGTAACGTAGAGCGAGGAATGAGTATTGAGGTATCTGCCTCGTTCCGCCCAATTGCTATCACTATGTAAAATGCTTAAGATTTGTTTGGAGTAGTAGTTTATTGATTTGAAGGTTGTTATGAAATTGGTATTGAGCCAATTGGGTTAGTTTAGTTCCAGACGGTTTTATAAACATTAATTTTGAGTCGGTTGTAGAGATTATTGGGACAAACAAGCTTGTGTTTAGCTTGATATGATAGGTTTTGTTATTGAACATTAGATAATTTTCATTAGTTGAGTCGAGCTCGAGTTAGATTATCTAAGTTCAAATTCGAGTCAAGACATTTATAAACGAAAAGAGTTTGAGTCTAACGAAAATTCGAATTGTTTGCAACTCTGATATAGAGGGGAAAAGTAAGGTTTCAATTTTTTTTAGGGTAATGTCTATTTTTTATCCAAACTTTTTTCACATTCTTTTATATTATCCAAACCTATTAAAATGCTATTAATTAGCCTAATCTTTCATAATGCATCAAAGTATTAGCCATTTTTACATTATCGTTAATAATTTTGTAATTTTTTTCTTAGTTAAATTACTAAAATTTTGGAATGTTGACCTTCATGTGTCTCTTTCAAGTGAGTATCATGTTGCCAAGTCAATATTACTAACAAAATTGCTAACTGGAAGTTCTCATTTGGCTAATTCTTAGTATTTTGATAGGTTTGAATAATATAAAAGAATTTGAAAAAGGTTTGGAGAAAGAATAGACATTACCAATTTTTTTGCTTGGCCTCGGAGTAGTTTGAGAGATAGCTCTTATTGAATTTTGTACATATATAACTAATTACATCCTACTTAGATGCTAATTGCTAAGCAATAGTCTTGATCGATCCAAGTCGCAACTTTTATTGCATCCTTCGACATTGATTATTGCATTGCATTAAGGTAAAATAGATGAGGCGAAATTTTTTATAAGAGTGATATAGAATTTTGTTGTTAAATTAGGTGGTATCTAAGTAATTTAAAATGGGAACCTCCAAGTTTAAGAACAATTGTATTACCACCCTGACTCGATAAGAAGGGGTAGTATGCTAATATATATATATATATATATATATTTTGTTAGAGTGGAGGCGGGAGGAGGGTACGAGCTTGTTATGTGGTTAGTTTACTATAATATTTTCTATAGTAAGTGTTAGCATGATGTTAACACTTAAAAGTGCTATCACCCTATCAATTCTCCAGCTAATTGGAAGAGGTAATTTGGCCACAAAATAGGGATGCATCAACAAAAAAGTTCATTAGTGGTGGGAGGAGGGGACGAACTTGCTATAGGGTTGTTTACATAGTAAGTGTTAGCATGATGTTAACACTTATTGGTGTTAACACCCTATCCGCTTTTCAGTTAGGTGGATAAGGGAATTTGGCCACAAAATAGGAATGCATCAACTGGAATGAGTGAATTTGAACTATTTGGGGGTCGTTTGGATGAAGCTTTCTAGTGAGGTAATTGTGCTCAATTGACTCAAAATGAGCCAATTGAGCCAAATTGTCTTGTTTGGCAGCCCAAAACTAAAACGAAACATTTTGGAGGGGGGCAATTGTAATTGTTTCATTATGGGTCAATCTCAAATACTTGGGTGGTGGGGAGGAAATGCCAATTGACTCGTTTTTTACGGAACCTTTCCAATTATAACCTTTTTCTTTTCCCCTTTCTCTCTCTCTGTTGAAACTCACTTTCCTTTCCTCTTCTTCTCTTTCCTGTCAATTGTCGACTATCTTCTTCCCTTTTCCTTTTTCCTCTTTCTTCTCTCTACAGATCTATTGATCTGTTCTTTGATGGCGAACGAAGGGAAGAATGTGACTGGAAATCTTAGGGTAACCCGACCCGTAGAAAATCACCTAAACTAGGACAACTATTAGTCCAAGCCTCGAGGCTCACTCGCAACTAACGAAACTGCTCTTCGTCTGCCGTCTTCAGTCTTGTGACGAGGAAAGAGAGATTCGTTGCTCGACCTGGGTTCGTTGAGGAAGAGGAAGCATTCTGCATGTGAGCAAGTTGTGGCTCAACCTGGCCCTCGTAATTTTTTTTTTCAATTAAGCGTTTCGGTTAAGATTTTGGATCCTCTGCTTTAAAACAGGGTTCTGTTTGTTTGATTCAGGGGAAATTCGATTGCTTGATTGGGATGTTTTGTCGTTTGATTCATGGGTTCTTTGGAATGGTTGCTTAGTTTGGGGGGTTTGATTCGTTGCATGGGGGGTTCTAGGAGGAGGAGAAGAAGAAATCGCCATTGAAGGCTTCTGCACAACAGCGTGGAAGCTTCTTCTTCTCTTCTTCTTCTTACCTTGACTTCTTCCTCATCTTTGACGGGACGGGAAATTTGTAGACGACAGATCGGGTGCGCCATGATATCCATGACTCAGGGGATTGTTTTGATACCCATTCGATTATTTGATCCCAACTCAACTAGCTTTTTTTCTTCCTCTGAATCTCAAATTATTTGATTGTGGTTTGTTACTTGTTAGCGTTCGAATTAAAATATTGGCTTGCTGATTGTAATTACTCAAGCAAAAGATTTTGGGACCCTTAAATTTCTGGTAAGGATTTCGCCATTGTTGATATTAATTATGGTGTTGTACTGTTGTCATCATCAAGAGGAAGATGGAAAAGAAAGAAAATGGAAAAGGGTAAAATAATGAGGGCATATATGTATTTTCGGAAATTGCTCCATCTCAATTGTCTCATGTCAAAATAACAAGCCAAACAAGACAATTCTATACAAATTTCTCATGTAATTGACTCATATCCTGAATTGAGACATTTGTTCCAAATTACCTCATTTTGAAAATGTTCCATCCAAACGACCCCTTGGTTTTGCATCAATTTAAGTTGATAGGAAAATGACAAGTAGTTCAGAATGACATAAATAATTTTGGGGTCGTTTGGTTTTGGTGATTGTTTGGGTGGGATAGTTACAATCCATGAACTGTCCACAATGCATCGTTTTTTTGAATTTTCTGCACAAACAATACATGCATTGTTTGCTTGATTTGTCACAAACTATCACTCAACATGAGTGATAGTTAAATCTCAAGTTTTTGGTGAGATTGTTTGATTGAGATTGTTGTGTTTTACTTTCTTCCAAGAGTTCCAACTATGTCTCTACCTTTTTATGTGTGTTGTTTTTTTATATTAAAAACAAAAAGTAAAATTTACATTTCACCCAAAAAATAATATAACTTATTTAAATAACACAATAATTATTACAAATCCATACTCCAAATCCATTAAATTAACTAATTTGTGAAATTCATACTCCAAATCCAAAGTCCAAACCAATCTATACTCACTGAACAGGAAAATCCATCTAGAAATTGCGAATCTGGTGCAATGGCCAAAACTGTCATTTCCAACCTGCTAATGAATTATTTGTTTCCCCTTCCACCCAAAAACTGGGGAAAATATCCAAACAGAAACAAATAAACAATAAATAATAAAAATAATATAATTTTCTCAACCTCATTATTTTCCTCCCTCTTTCCTCTCCGCCACACCACAAAGAAAGCCTTCCCCTTTCTTCAACTTCGACTCTAAGCTTTAACACATCGTGTTGTCATCATCACTACTGGCTGGATATTATTTTGCACCCATCTCACACCTTCCTCCTATTCTTCCTTTCTTCCTCCTCCTCCGAGATCTAAAAGCTTTCTGCTTTTGTATCCTTCCCACTTCCTTCTTGATTCTTACACTGGCATAGGTAGTAGCGATCATCGCCGGTTCCGTTTCCCACAAAAAAAGCTTTTTAGTATTTGCCGCTGCTTCTCTTCGTATACCCACTTCCAACTTGATCCGTTAATCTATTGGGTTCTCTCATTCTAGTTTCCATTTGTTTTCTTATTCAATTGGCCGCAAGCTCTTGTGCCCTTTGTCTACTTACCCTCTTTCGTCTCTTCTGTCTTGTTCCTTCTGTTGTTTCGGTGCCAGACAGTGCGGGGTGAGTTGCCCTTTCCCCGATTCGGGAACTTGTTGGGATTTGCTCAATTCCTTTCGGTGCCGAATTGATTGCCCCGATCTTTGCTTTGCTAGTTGGATTCGATTTGGCTTCTGAGGAAGTTCTAGGTTTTGTTTTGGTGGGATTCCATTTCAGATTTTACTGGGTTTTTGCTGATCTGGGGTGAAGTTTAATCCCTTTGAAGTTTTGGCTATCTGGGTTCTTCTTATCTACTGGTCAAATTGACACTCGAGAGAGCTTTCAGTACTGTAAGACACTGCGGTTTGTGGGTGGAGGCAGACTCCCGCTTGATAAAGAATTTTGGAGAAAGATTAATGCTTTGTTGGTGTTGAGATGCAGCCTGATCAGCGGAAGAAGGTAAAAATGTGCTGTGATGCTTATGTGGTGTCAACTACTTGGTTGAATCAAATTGCAAAAGCTTAGACATAAACTATGAATTTGGACTTGTAATCTTCTTGTGTAACTGTACAGTAGATTTTCGGATGTTATTATTAACTTGGATGTTGTTGACTGCACATCTGGATTTTGAACGAACAGCATTTCGTCATGTTTTGTCTCCCTATTGCCGAGTTATGGCTGGTCCCACTATCTCATATCTATATAATAATGGGTTTGCTTATCAACTGCCTATGTTCTGGATGATTTGATATGTGAAACAACCAATTGATAAAATGATAAGTTAATCCATTGCTATGATAGTCAGAGGTAAGTTCGTAGCTTACTAAGTTTTGCGGGTTCCATGTAGAACAGAAATCTGGGTCGAGTATCTGTGACTGCTTCAGCTTGTCTACGGCAGTAGCCATTTGGTAGTTTCTGTGATAAAGCTAATCCATGTTATTGGAACTTAACTTAAAGGCCATCTGACATGAGAACAGAAACCAGTCATGTTTAGACCGGCAATTTTAGTATGAGAGATTTTCTTAGATAAAATGTAGGCCAAGTGCCTTTTCTTTGTTAGGTGTTCGCATATGTGTTGGCCGAATTCTGGTTTGGTTCAAATATTAGTTGAACACTGCTGGTCCATTCAGCAGTTTATTATGTTCCATCTAACTGTGTTGCTCTTCTCCTATGTCTTAATACATTGCTGCAATTTTGCTGCAGTCTGTCGAAGTTGACTTTTTCACCGAGTATGGTGAGGGGAGCAGGTATAAAATAGAGGAAGTTATTGGCAAAGGAAGTTATGGTGTTGTTTGCTCTGCATTTGACACACACACAGGAGAGAAAGTTGCAATTAAGAAAATCAATGACATCTTTGAACATGTCTCTGATGCCACACGCATCCTTCGAGAAATTAAACTTCTCAGGCTTCTCCGTCATCCGGATATTGTGGAGATCAAGCACATCTTGTTGCCCCCTTCCAGAAGGGAGTTTAAGGACATCTATGTAGTTTTTGAGTTGATGGAATCTGATCTACACCAAGTTATCAAAGCAAATGATGATCTAACACCCGAGCACTATCAGTTCTTTCTTTATCAGCTTCTCCGAGGCCTGAAGTACATACACACTGGTGAGGGGATTGACGAACTACTTTGACGTCAGTAAAAGCTGTGAACTTCATTATACCCTTTCTTGTGAGTACTTGTGAATCATGCCTGTATTGATTCTTCTTCTTTCTACCAGCCAATGTGTTTCACAGGGATCTAAAACCTAAAAATATCTTAGCCAATGCTGACTGTAAATTAAAGATTTGTGACTTCGGCCTAGCAAGAGTTGCCTTCAATGACACTCCCACGGCTATTTTCTGGACAGTAAGTTCCTTTCTTTAATGAATTTACATGCAGAGGAACTTTGGGGAATAAAGTAGACTATTAACAATTTTGCATCTCGGCAAAGCTAATTGTTTCTGTTGTTGCTCTTTCCCAGGATTATGTTGCTACGAGATGGTATAGAGCTCCAGAATTGTGTGGGTCGTTTTTCTCCAAGGTGCGTGATTAGTGCTTTAAAGCTTTTCTTTGGTCTTAACTTTTTATTCCAGTTCACACATTGTCACGCTAAATGTTGCTCCCTCCTGCCCCTTTAGCCTCACTAAACTGTATGTTTAGTGCTTCTCTTCTTGCATAGAATCGGTAGAACTGTTTGCACATACTCAGATACAAACCTCTTGTGAGTATTCATACTCAGTTTGCTATTCTGTTATATATGCAGTACACACCAGCAATAGACATATGGAGCATTGGATGCATCTTTTCTGAACTTTTGACCGGGAAACCTCTTTTCCCCGGGAAAAATGTAGTCCATCAGTTGGATCTGATGACTGATCTTTTGGGAACCCCATCTTCTGAAGCAATTGCAAGGGTATCTCCCTCAGTCCCTCTCATCATCATATATTCTGTAATGTTCATTAATTCCTGAAGGTACTTATGCTAAAATGAAAGCATCACTATCATTAACAGGTTCGCAATGAGAAAGCTCGGAGATACCTTAGTAGCATGCGGAAGAAGAAGCCAATTCCTTTTACTCACAAATTCCCTCATGCAGATCCTCTTGCACTTAAATTATTAGAAAAAATGCTAGCATTTGAACCCAAAGACAGGCCTACTGCTGAAGAGGTGAGTTTCTCTATTTACTCATCTTATGACTTACAGAACGAGTACATTCCCCTCCAAGAGAGATTTATATTTTTTGTCATTTTGCCAGGCCCTTGCAGATCCATATTTCAGAGGTTTGGCCAAAGTTGAGAGAGAGCCTTCTGCTCAACCTGTTACCAAGATGGAATTTGAATTTGAGAGGCGAAGAATAACAAAAGAAGATGTAAGAGAGCTCATTTACAGAGAAACACTGGAGTACCATCCAAAAATGTTGAAAGAATTCTTAGAAGGTTCAGAACCAACGGGCTTCATGTACCCAAGTGCTGTTGACCATTTCAAGAAGCAATTTGCATATCTTGAGGAGCATTACGGAAATGGTGGGCCTGCTGCTACTCCGCCAGAAAGAACTCATGCATCATTGCCAAGGTGTGGCAAGTGTTCTTTCGTTTGGTTTGACATGCTGCTATCTTGGGATTTTATTCACAGTGTTTACACTACAATGGTGCATGCAGGGCCTGCGTATTATATTCAGATAAGAATCCTATGCTGAGCTCAGCAAAAGTAGCAAATGATCTTTCTAAATGTTCTATCAAAGATATCGAGAAGCCACACATGGACAAGAGTGGTGGTATCCCTATGACAAGGCCTCCCATTCAAGTCCCTCAAAGTATTCAAGGTAACTGCGCCACATATTCCTTTCTTCAAACCCTATCTCTGGAAGTGGTTTGGTTATTTACTAAGCACTCTTAACACCTAGCATTTCGGTGGTTTGCCTTGGAATTCCTTATCCTTTCAATTATGATAATATTTGTGTGTGATTAATAATTTAATTGACTTATCTCTACAGCGGGACCTGCTCGTCCCGGGAAAGTTGTTGGCTCTGTACTGCGATACAACAACTGTGCCACAGCAGCAGAGCCTGTTGTCGACCAACGGAGAATGGTTAGAAACCCTTCTACCACATCTCAATACACCTCGTCGAACGGTTCGTATCCGAGAAGAAACCCAGGCTGCAAGAATGACAGGGGAGAAGACGATGGAATTGAAGGGTCCAATGGATTGCAGCCAAAACCACAGTTCATGGCAAGGAAAGTTGCTGCTGCTCAAGGTGGACCGGGAAGTCAATGGTATTGATGATGGTTATACACAGCATGGTTGGCTGAGTTTGTAACACTTTGACTTCAATCTCTCCATTTTCCCTTAATGGAGCTGCTATGAACTGGACTCACCTGCTTCGAGTACTCGGTCATGCAATGGACTACTTTGGTGCTAAGGGTGGTTCAAAAGACTGGTCGGAGGGACTATCTTGTCTTGAGAGGACGAAGTGAAGCAGAGAATGGAACAGGTTGTGTAATTTATTTCTCTAACTGAAAGGTTAAAAAAGCTGTAATAAACAGGTTCTTGGTTCGTGAGAATACTGGGATGTTGCATGTCTGGTTTAAGCTCAGTAGTCAGCCCACACGAAAGGAGTCTGATGTTCGTAAATCAGAGTCGGGTAGAGTTGGCTGGTTGCTTACCAGATTCTCTGCATCTCTTGTTCGTTCGTTCTGAGATAGGAAGTTTTTATACCCTTTTGTTATGTTAACCCCAAATTGTTCGTATTCACTATTTGTACACTTCTACTGTCTATGTAACTTTGTTAAATAAAGATCCTGCTTTTTGTGCTTGTGAATTGTGATATTCCAGGGCCATGGATCCTTCTATTTCTATAGAAGGAATCCCTATTGGTTACTGTTTGTGCTCGCTTACTATTTCATGCAAATTGCATCTATGATTTATGATTTTGTGAAATACAGACGGTTTAACTGTAAAAATGAATTCTAAATTTGTAGACAACATTTAGTAATAATAAAATGGTTGAATTACAATTTTAGTACAAAATATCCTATCGATAACTTACAATCTCGAGTAAACCTCGTCATCAATCATTTACTATTTGCGCTTGCAAGGAACTGTACCCTTTAATATAACCACTCACAATAAGATTTGGCATTGCTATCCACTCAGGACAGTCAAAACCTTCCATGAATCGTTTACTCCACAAGAAATACAGACATTAACAGATGAAGATGTATACACCCAGATTTCTGCTCCAGCCTAATTGAAGTGTCAATAGCAGGCTACTGAACATATCACATCACAAACATAAATGTTAAAAACTTCACAAATTTGAAGTTACTATCCAATGTTAGTGAATACACTACACAAATGAAACCCACATCTACCACTCACTCTAGTTTTCCCTTCCATTTTCTCTCTCCTTGCAACGACACCTACAGTGGTCAGTACAGTTTGCAAAACTGTGCAAAGCCCTAACAAGATCTTCATCACACAATTTTCAGTCTTCCCACTTACGCCTACAAATCAGTGGATCCTTTGCTTCACCCTTCTACCATTCATATCGCCGTCTAAGCTTTCAATCCCAAGAACAGATGCAGCAGCTGCAGAATGCTCACCAACTCTGGCAACATACTGCAACAGTTCCGTGATGACGGTAGGGCAACTTTGCTTCAGGTACTCGAATCCATCAGTTTGCATGACAGCTGCATAAGATTTATCCATACTCCATCATGAGTCTCAGTCGCATAAACTTGAGAACTAGAAGTCCTTGGCAAGAACAATTATAAGAGCCCTTTACACAAGGAGACATACACATATATGCTCTGAACATGAATATGGAAAGAGGATTTTGGGCATAAAAAGGGAACTGCAAAATGCAGTTTTGGAAAAGAAAGATTTCAGTAACACAAAATTGAGGTGCAAAGTAGGCTAACCTTTCAGATTTTCCGGCAATGCAATGAATTTGAGGCAGACAGCTTTTAATTGGAGACACTGATGCTGCTCGGCCAAGGCCAGCGTTGTTGCAACTGTATTTATAGCGACATCCTCACATAGTTTTGCTTCACAGAGCAATCTGAGTCTCTCTAGTGCATAACGGTCAGCTGCTGCAAGTAGATGTTGTGCCATTAATGTGGCAGCCCATTTGGGGTTCACTGTACCAACAAGGTCTTCCAGGTCAGGCAGTGCATCCCAGTAGATGAAGTGCAGTAGAGCCTGCAGACATTCCGGCACACAAGTGAGAAAACATTTTACATTTCAGAACTGTTCAATCTCGATCTAACCGTAAAGAAAAGTAAAATAAGCAATTCTGTGTTAACCAATATACATGACCGAGATAAAAAGAAAGAAGCAATGCCCAGATTTCTCCAGACAGCCAAGCCAGAGGAAAAACTGCAGCGCAGCACTGTAGAATCTGAGTTCTCAAAAGATTCTGCTGCATCCTTGGCTTCAGATCTATTTCCTCATAAGGTCAAAGGAAGTGTTTCACAACCGACCAAGACACAAGATATCTCTGCCACTCCATTACATGCACAAAAAAGCAGGGGTTAAAAAAATAAAGCTCCAAGGGGCAGCACCAGGGAAAAGTTTCATCCAATGCCCCAAGCTAGGTGAAGCCCTTCACAACAACTGCTCAACCAACTGATAATGCTGCCAAACTTAAGTAGTTATGGACAAGTACCAATTTTCGCAGCATCAATCACGAGGAGAAAGCAAGAAGAAGTAGACCTTAGCTGGAGTAAGAATTGTGCACAGGAGGAGCACCATAGCGAAGAAAGCCACAAGTATATTCGAGTATGGCATCACAATCATCCTGTATGGCACCATAATTACTCACCTAATACAGGTGACCAACCTACAAAAGCTACCGCACAAATCTTCATTCGTTGCATTTAAACAAACGAGGAGATTATGCACTCCTAAGTCCAAACATAGATATAATGGGCTTAGCGCTAAAAACCACAAACTATTCAGATCAACCACTTAAGCAAAGCTAACCTGGAAGGCAAGCCAGGTAAGCCATTAGCAAGCACGATATGACACAATACAAACGAGTGACGGTTGTGCTAATAGCAGAAGAGTTTGCAGCAGAAGACACTGTGCTTTCTGCTCTTCTCTTGGTTTCTAATGTGCGGAAGTTATTAAAAATAAGACAGCTTAAATAAGCAAATTGGTATAGAGAAAGAGGAAGTGAGAGAAAGAACCTTAAAAACAGGGAGTTCTACATCTTCAACTTTCAAGGACGTAGTGTTTTGGTCCTTCATTGGACCAAACAGCTGTGCCCTAAATACTGGAGAGCGTGCAGCAAGAACCAGCTTGTGTGCAGAAAAAATTTCTCCATCAACTTCAAAATTTACATCAGATCCCTTCCCACTTTCCAAGAGCATTCCAAATTGAAGACCAATATCAGAGGGTGGCACAGGAATTGAATAGGTCCTAGGTCCCTCTGTCTGCGACTTAACAACACCAACACAGCAACGGATTACAAGTTTATCGTCCTTCAGGTAATCTGAAGTCTCCAGTTGAGTTCGTTTGAAAAACCGCTTATAACCCCTGCAACAACCACACAACTTCAGGTCCTCAACCACAACCCATGATGAGCTTCAATATACAATTGAAATACTCAAGTCCAGTAAATGCTTAAAATTAAATAAATAGCCGTCATGAGATACATCACGTACTGCGCCACTGGTTCTACCAGATTGACAATCTTGGCAACATCAAATGGATTTCTCATATCAAGCAAAGATGCCAAAGTTCAGGTGACCACAGATAATCGTCCAACCCTGCTTATATATGCTTGACTCCCAACTACAGAAGTTTTCTCCAATTCATCATGAGTCTAAACAAACACTCAACAATATAACCAAACCTAATATTAGCAATTGCCTACAAGTCATCTTATCCGTTTACCTCATCCACAAAATACCTTACTTTACATATTCATGTCTCTGATTGATAATCACTACTGCTGCGATGTATCTCTGATCTCGATTCAAAGATAACACATTCATATGACTTAAACATACACTTAGAGAGTAGTATGAGCCGTAATTATGTTACTATAAACTACTTAACTTGCTTTAAGATGCAAACTCCCAAGTACTGAAGTGATCTCCAACTCATCACGAATCTAAATGAAGTAACCAATTTGACAGCCAACCCCTAACCATGAGCGATAGGCAAGAGATCGCATTCACTGACTACCCCTCCAAAAAAGACATTAGCTTTACCGAGGGATTGCACAATCATATCATATTAAACTGTACGATAGCATAATCGAAGTGCAGAGAGAAAGGAGAAAGCAAATTGCAAAGGCAGATATAAGCACTCACCACATACTCCCTCTGTATTTAAGGGTATAAGGACCCGTCTCCAGGTTCCTCCCAAAATGGCTATGAACCTTATGCCGCGCTTTCCCACTCTGATCCATAAGCGTCAGCTCGAACAACGCCCTGACATCCGTCCCCTCGCTGGCCAGCGCAATGAACAAAGACACGTAATTCCCGTTATCCTCGGGGCTCTTCCCGTCGGGATAAAAGTAGATCGCCCAAGCGTAGCCCCCGACGAAGAACGTCTCGGAAGCTATGTACTTGCCGACGCCCATCCCTTTCGACAGCGAGTAGCCACTGATGTCGAACTCGTGGGAGCCATTGATGGTCTCGTTCCTCGAGGTGGAGGTCGTCACCGAGAGCGGGGATTGCGACGTCGACGAGCTCGGCTTGTTCGCGAGATCACTGTCGCGAACCCTAATTGCGTCCATCAACCGATAAGAGGACGGGAATTCGAGGGAATCCGATTTAGCCCAGCAGCTGTTCCCGGGAGAATTGTCGAGGGAATTCGACAAATTTGTGCGGCGGTCGCGATTCAGCGCGGGGAATCCCGGGCGCTCGGCGGGGCGAAATCAGGGTTTTGGAAAGGGGGAAAAGGAGGATAATGGATAATTGGAGGAGGCGGTAGGATAGGAAACAGAAGATTGTGAGGTAGATCTAGGTTGCCGACGGAAATCGCCGGCGGAGGAAGAAGGTGATCGGAAGAAGAAGTTGGGAGAGGAAGCGATGACTTTTCTTATCTGGTGACTGGTGGGCGAGATGAAAAACGTGACAGATTATCAAAATGAAGAAGGAAGCCATTAATAATGGAAATAAAGTCTTTTATTTATATCGTTCTGTTTGGTTTTGTTTGTAAAACACTAATGTAAACCCATTCTCCTTCGTTTTACTGTTAACCTTACTACCCCGGTAAAAAAGAAGGAATAGTTCATGGTTGGCGTCTTGGTGATACATAGAGGTGGCTATATGGTCCGGTCCGGTCCGGTTAAATTGGCCCAAATTGATCCGGTTCAGTCTAGTCTTTCAAAAAATATAAGGATAAAAAATTGGATTGGATACAGTCCGGTTTTGATTCGGTCCGGTCTTGACCCGGTCCAGTCCCAATTCGGTCTTGATTTTATATTGAACTTGTGGGGATTTGAGTGGCCTAAGGCCTGAAAGGGTGAGGAATTGGTTAAGTTTTGTACTAAGTGCAAAGGTTTGTGATTGTTTATGCTAATTACCCTTAAGTTTTGGGTGTTAAGCTCTCTTATCCGGTCTTTATCCAGTTTTTTATCCGGTCCCGAACGAGTTTTAACCTCAAATCTAAGCCCAAAGATTGGATTGGATTGTTTACTATCCGGTCCCGGTCCGGTCCCTGTCCGGTTTCGGGTAAAACCAAAAAACCCGGACCAAATAGCCAGCCCTAGTGATACAGGTCTGTACCGGTCGATTGGATCGGAATAACCAGAAACCGGAGTCAGTCTGAAACAACAGGAGATATGTCCTCAATTTTTCCATGTAGGGTGATATTTTGGGTCGAATTGTCAAACCGCGAAGTAACGACCATAAAAACGATCATATTTTTTCTTATATATCTGTTGACACCTAAAATTAATATGGCCGGGATTAAATGCCGCATTAATTAGTCTCGGCATTTAAGTCGATGCCGCGGGTAAAAAACGGTGTCGTTTGGAGTTGAGCGGTGTCGCGGAGAGTTAAAACGGTACCGCGAAACTGAAAAACGGTACCGCAAGGAAGCTCAGCGGTACCGCAACACCGGAAACGACACCGCTGGCCGAAGATAAAAAAAGGGCCGCGCGGTTAGTTGGGTATTGGAAAAGGAGTTTTGTTTATAATTAATTATTGTTATTTTTATTCCTTGTTGGATGGGGAGAAGCGGGACCGCGGAGAGCTAAAACGGTGCCGCGGAATTAAAAACAGTACCGCGAGGAAGCCCAACGGTACCGCTATACTAGCAAACGACAGTGTTTAATAATAAACAGTGTCGCGGAAGAAAAAAAACAAACGGAGCTGGTTGGGAAAGAAAACGACACCGCAAGGCTGGAAGCGGAGTCGTTTAATATTAAAACGATGTCGCGGGTAGAATCAAGCGGAGCTGTTTGGGAAAGGAAACGACATCGCGGGATCATGAAAACAACTCACGTAAAGTTCACGCGAAGCAGCTTGAGGAGCGAAGCGGTTGAGACACGTGGGATTTCACAACGGAGCAGTTGAGGAAACGGTTCCACCGAGCGTGAAGACTACGAAGCAGTTTTTCGAATAAAAGCAGTGGAGCAAGGAGAGAGAAAAGGACAACCAAATCAACACAGAAACACATCTGTCAAACTTTACCTTTTTTCTCTGTAACTCCTTCGCGGAGCTCTCCTTCCAGGAAGGATCTCCATAGTTGTAGTCTTAGTCGTAGTCGCGGAGCTCTCCACAGGAATCTCCATAGGAGTAGCGGTAGCGTAGATTCCTCAAAAACTCAAACACCCTCGTTCGAACGTAGTTTGGAGAGGTGTGAACCGTAGTCACAGTCGTCTTGATTAGAAGTCAGTGGCGCATCAATTTGATCAAATCAACATCGTCGTTTGGCACGCCGGCGGTGGTATTTGGTCAGAAGATAGTGGTGCATCCGTTCAATCGGCACCGCAAAAGTTTCCACCGCGAAACATCGAATCAACATCGCCGGGAACAAATTCGGCACCGGCGGTGGTATTTGATTTTCTCGGGAAACATTTTGGCACGCCCAGTGGGACACGTGTGTTTGACACGGCTCCGCATCGAGGAAATCAAGATCGTGATCTTCCACACATACCCGTGGAGTTGGAGGCGCCCGACATTGAAGTTGGTCAGGCGAACGAGGCAGATAGACGTACTCAAGGGATGAAGGAGCTGCTACATGTTGAAATCCTGTATCTACGTCAATCCATGGAGGAGTTTCACCAATCCATGAAGGATTTTCACCAAGAGGTAAATCTCCAATTTGATAATCTTGAAAAGAAAATGGATAAGTTCGAAAACAACATAGATCGATGGTTTGATAAGTTGGATGACTGTGTTTCTGATTTTAGTATGTCAATACATAGAGCCACATGTGATTTTGATGTGTTTAAATCTGAAACCATGTCTGTTGCGTGCGATGATTTGATGGTTGATCGGCTAGCCAATGTCAACCAAACGCCATCGACGAGTATGGCTACAACATTGTTGCCAAAAGCCAAGGAGCCGAACGTGTCTTTTCCTGTGAACAATGTTGTTCTTAAGGACACACAAGTTGGGATTGGCTTGAAGAAGCCACTACGAAGAAGTCATCATCGACTTAATTCTAGTAAGATTGAAAGCAATAACCAGGGTGGAGAACCTGGTCACAAATACGTTGAACATCAAAAGCTCACATATGATGTGCTGTCAATCCAACATTGCGATGATGTTCGATCTAAGCCGCTAGGGGGGCATGAGATCCCACTACAAAGCAGGATGAAGGAGAAACAATATCACAAGTGGCGAAGCAGTTTGCCACATCCACCCTGTTCTAGGGAAAAGCATATGTGGGTTGCCACAAACACTATTCAATATGGGGGTGGTAGCCACGTGAAAAATCCCAATGCCACCAAAGTTGGCATGAATCAACAGACTCCTCTATGTAAATTGTCCCCAAAACCTCCACTGAGTAGAGAGGGGGGCAAGTTCGATCACACCCGACATGGGGTTGCCACACCAGTGCTGACTGGGAACAAATCCATGAGTGGTGGTCTGGGGGGCAAGGCCAATGCCAAACAAACTCCAAACTCACGTGGAATTTTAAAAGGGGCTACGTTGTTCTGTGATAAGTGCAAAAATCAAAATAACCACATGACTGTTGGTGAAGCTCGTAAGCCTCAAACTCAACAACGTCGTAAGAGTGCGAAGCTGACAAAACCAGACCAGTCTGGGCAAGCGATGCCACATGGTCGATTTGGCCAGACAAAGGGGCCAAAAAATGTGAGTGTGCTGCCTAAAGCCAAGAACGCTTATGGTTTTCCATTCAGCGAGGCTGAGAGGATGCCAAATCAGGCTTGTAAAGTTTCGAACAAAGATGTTCGAGTTGGACAAACTGGGGAGTTGCAAACCAACATTGATTCCAAAATATTAAAACCAACGGGTGTGAAACCAACGAGTCAGGGAATTCACGGATGGCTTGTTTGGTTTGATCGATGGAGTTGGCAGTGGGTGTGGACTTTTGGCATGATGGTTTATGCCAAGTCTAGTTTGTTTCTTATTTAACTGTTAATAAATAACGTGGCTAAATTAGGCCACCTAATATGTTATAGAGAAAATATTATACAATATAATCAAGCGGCATTGCTAAGAAGAAGCAACAATATCATTGGCAATAGTTCAAAATAACAAGCGGTGTTGTTCTCTTTTCTCAACATCGTTGGAAGATAGGGAAAGATACACAATGCTGTAAAAAAAAAACAGGAAAAAAATCGCCAAAACAATACTGGTGAAGGAAAAAATCGGTGCTGTTTTTGGAAGAAATATCCTTGCGGCAATGATAAATATATAAAAAAAGTATCACACTGCCGTTTTGGCCGAGGCCGCGATGCAGGTCTGCGAAAGAAAAAAAAGAAAGAAGAAACAACTTGGCCGCTGTAGCGTTGCAGGCCAAAGTTATATAAAGCAAACTAGCAAAGTTATTGGAATTTAATTTGGCCAAATTTTAATTAAAGAAAAAAAAAGTTCAAGCATTGTCGTTTCGCTAAAGCAGCATTGCGGGCTTCGCTGCAGCGTTGCAATGGGAGCCGAGATTAATCGGTTGTGGTTGGGATAAACACAGCCGCACACAAGATTTTATAAATAAAAATTGGACTTGTGATTTGTTTACCATATAGCGGTAATTTTGTCCAAGAGGGAAACCCACTGTTGTCTACCAAAGCAGTGTTGCGGAACACACCTAAGCCGTGTTACAAGCAGGGTCGTTGGATTTTATTGAGGCCAAATCAGTACGGCTGGCCTTTGCAACGTTGTCTGGTTGAAGCCTTACGTAGCACGATTGAAATTGTTTTGGTAGTGCTACGTTATGATGATTGTGGTCAAGTAATATTTTTTTGCTCAGGCGTGAATTTAGATATGAATCAATTTTAGGTGATTTAAGTTGTGTCAACAACTTGGTTCATAAATTCTTATAAACCAAGTTGTGGGGGGCATTTGTTGACACCTAAAATTAATATGGCCGGGATTAAATGCCGCATTAATTAGTCTCGGCATTTAAGTCGATGCCGCGGGTAAAAAACGGTGTCGTTTGGAGTTGAGCGGTGTCGCGGAGAGTTAAAACGGTACCGCGAAACTGAAAAACGGTACCGCAAGGAAGCTCAGCGGTACCGCAACACCGGAAACGACACCGCTGGCCGAAGATAAAAAAAGGGCCGCGCGGTTAGTTGGGTATTGGAAAAGGAGTTTTGTTTATAATTAATTATTGTTATTTTTATTCCTTGTTGGATGGGGAGAAGCGGGACCGCGGAGAGCTAAAACGGTGCCGCGGAATTAAAAACAGTACCGCGAGGAAGCCCAACGGCACCGCTATACTAGCAAACGACAGTGTTTAATAATAAACAGTGTCGCGGAAGAAAAAAAACAAACGGAGCTGGTTGGGAAAGAAAACGACACCGCAAGGCTGGAAGCGGAGTCGTTTAATATTAAAACGATGTCGCGGGTAGAATCAAGTGGAGCTGTTTGGGAAAGGAAACGACATCGCGGGATCATGAAAACAACTCACGTAAAGTTCACGCGAAGCAGCTTGAGGAGCGAAGCGGTTGAGACACGTGGGATTTCACAACGGAGCAGTTGAGGAAGCGGTTCCACCGAGCGTGAAGACTACGAAG